GACTGGCCTTGTCCACCCGCAAGCCCCTGCCCTTCTTTGCGGTCTGGGTGGCTCCTGAGAGAGGGGATGGGTTGGAGGAGGGGCAACCCAGAGCTCCAGAAGCCAGGGGGGCACAAGTTGAGGCAACTCTCAGAGTCCAAGCACCCAGGGTGCCAAGGGGCCTGGGTGGGCCTGCCCCAGCAAGGGTGTTCAATTTGAGCTCAGCTCTGCCCCTCACGGAGAAGATGCGAAACATCTGTGACCCGAGACAGTTGCAAGTGAAGGACCAGGTCAGGCCGGGCACCAAGCAGGTGGCAAAGCAGTGATGGGCAGGAGTCGGGGCAGAGGGAGGGCTCCTGGGCATCCCTGAGCCAGGAACAAAATGACACCCTGCCTGTCTCCAACCCACCCCCCTTCACCTTCTGTAGGTCCTGACCAGTAATGCCATTTCTGATGACCAGGGAGCCAGCTGGACCCTGTCCTTCCCCCCAGACCTCAACAGGGAGCACGCAGGCACCCCTGCACCCATGGACTGACACAGGCAAGAAGGGGGGTGGGGAGATAGGGTGAGTGAGCATTTAGACCCTTCTCACTGGGAGCAGAAGCCCCTCCTGAAGACCATGGTCACCACCGTTCCACGACGATGGAGCAGTATCAGCCAGGCCACAGTACAGACATAGCTGCCGTGCACGGTCTGCTGTTCCTGAAGACCACAGCCCAGCGGTGGCGCCCTGAGAGCCACGGGGCAGAGACTGCCTCACCCACTCTCTCAGAGACGCTGCGAGGGGGTGACGTCTCTCCCCATCTCCTCCATATCACCCCTCTGGGAAACAGAGGCTCAGGAAGGTGAAACAGCCTTCCTAAGGTCACACAGCAAAGACCGGGGCCAGGGGTGTCTGAGTCCAGGGCACAGGTGGCCTCCGCACAGTGTGAACATCACGGTCCTGCCTCCCCTCCAGCCTGACCCACACCTTCTAGCCTACCCCCCAGGCCCTGGTCTGTGGTGCTGGCAGCCAAAGGGACAGTCTCGGGGACCCCAGGATAGACCCAGGATGCCCTGAACCACCTCTTCAGTAGGGATCTGGGGTTATTAACCAATCCCACGTTAGATTTCCAAGGACCTAAGGAGCTATGTAGCCAGAGCAATGGAGTTGTGGTCACCAGCTGGACTGCCAACGACAAG